ATATATAAAAATATAACCATTGTGTGGTGTACCATAAAGAATAAATTATGAACAGTTTAGTTTGTGCCTTCAAGTCGTTGCCCATAGGAAGACGTTACTTCGCTATAACGGAATATATTCAGAACAGCTCCAAATGACACAAATCAAGGGCCAAAAGTAAAAAAAAAAAAAAAAAAAAAAAAAAAGGCGTTTCCCTTTAATAAAAGTAAAAGGTAAAACATAAATATGGTATTTGTACCTCGATCTCCTACAGCCATCATTTTGACGTCTCTATTAATTGCATTGTAAATTCTTCCCGCGGCTGATTGATATTTGGCACCGTTGCCTAGCAACCAACATTCTACGTTGAACTCTTTGGCTAATACGGAAAAATGGCTTTCAGAAGAAATCTAACAGCGAAACGGGCTTTAGAAATCCTTTAAAATATTGATGATAGAGATTTGGGCGGAGGGGGAGAGACCGATGAGGAGGACTGGGTAGGAAGCGGCTCAGATTCTGACAGCGAGTCCGAGGATGATCACTCAAACCCGGGAAAACGCAGACGTATCAGTGACCCCTCAGACAATAGTAAAACTTTTGTTCAAGCCCTGCCCACACATCAGCCAGTACACTCAGAGGCCTAAAAGCCAAACCAGAGCCCCTGGTCGACTATAACCACATACAGGTCGGCTGGATGTGTCAGATCAGATGATTAGAAAGCTTTCCAAGAAGACGCGAAGGTGGCCTGTGGCTGTAATTTATGATGTCCTGGAAATATCAGCTATAAACACATTGGTATTGTTCAGGAACTGTTTGAATGTCACTTTTTTAACACAGAGATTTTATCCTTGAACTGCTAAAACAAATGCTTACAAACTGTACATTCTTAATGCCAATTAAGGCCTTAATTGAAAAAGTAATAATTTAATGACTTTTAATGACCTTTTTCAAAGCATATGTACATTACACAACTGAAACGCTACACCCTTCCCCTGATTAGGTTAAACAAACCACTGGCTCAATCACAGAAATTGATAAGGACCCTTTAGCCAATGTTAAATTGTGTCAGACATAAGCGCCGTCTGAATAGTGTTGGTTGTAAGGAAGGAGGTAGCAAGAGGAGCCTGCATGCCTCCGGTTCCCTTTTTCTTTAGCATATAGACCTCCTAATGTAAAGGAGCTTTAGGGAATCCCACAATTCCCTGTTTGAATTTTGTAAATTGTAGCTCCTACTGCATCTGTTGGAACAGCAATAAGAACACTATATCACTGGGTAGGAACTCTGATCTGCTGTGCCAAATCTGGACAGCCTTAGGCCCTTTGGATGCAAGTTGAAACCAGGACTATAGCCTTCTGAAAAAGAGCTACAAACAACAAGATGTGCAGAAATCTATCAAAGGACTGAGCTCACTATGTACCAAATTATATGAAGGATTTTATTATATAATTTGGTACATTTCCATGTGTCACACAATGTACACAAAGAAATAATGTATTTTTGTTTAATCCATATAGCTCCTGAGGCCCAGTGGGAGGACACCATGTTAAATGAACTCTCAATAGGAAGCCTTTGCCAACCTAGCTCCTGGCTGCCAGGAGTATTCAGACAGCACTTATCATGGCAACTTCCACTTTGGCTTCCTCACAGATTTACCCAAACCCAGATCTTGTCATAGCCACCGCAGCAGTGGAAACTATCGGCCATGATTTTCTAATGTGGCAGAAATTCTAACAGGGTTTGTACAGGAACGAGTAACTCTAATTTAATGCTTTTTAATGCTCTTTTAATGCTCTTAGAAATAATTTTAATGCTATCAACAAGTAACCATGACACTTGTGTGTGTGTGTGTATATATATATATATATATATATATATATATATATATATATATATATATATAAAAAACACGGCAAAATCCTTCATCTTTACTGTCGACAGGCTGCTGTCATGTCCCAAATTCCTCATTTTTCAGCCACTTTTGTTTCCCCGCCTCGAGCGTCTTTTCCAAACATACATTACGATCAACTGCAACCAGTTTCGTGCAACCAGTTTCTGACAAAATTGTTTTTATAATTTTTTTTTTTAAATGCCACGATAAACACTAATCACATTGAAGGAATTTTAATGCCAATTAACCTTGATTTAAAAAATAATAATTGAATGACTTTTAATGACCCGCAGAAACCCTGTCTATAAAGATCAAAAGACTTGATTTCTTTATATAAAAGTAGTACTGACGCTGACGACATGCATACCTGCAGGTGAGGTCTGACGGGTGCTGCCACTGAGAGTCTCTAGATTGACCAGCCACATGAGTCATCAATTCCTGAAGTTCATTCACTGCACCTGTAGAACATAAATGCTTTTTGTGAATCCCGATTTAAGGATTTTAAATCAATATCTTCCTTAATACAGATTTCCTCCATTTCCTGTTTGCCACATCTAAATGTTCGCAGATATAACAAATTCCTATTTCATATAAAGATAAATAGAGTAAATACAAAATACAGGTTGGCAAGGGGATTTCTTTGATGCATGTCCTGTTGTTTACTAGAGCCGATGTTACAGCTGACTTTCATATATTAATCACTCAAATAAGAATATTAAAAAGATCTAGTCTAGTATGGCCTTAAGTGAGAATACATCCACTTCCTGTGGTCATAAATTAATATTTATCAACCAACATTTTTGGAAAGTGTAGATTATTATGACTAATCAATAACCAGGTCTGATTACCGACAGAGCTATAGGATAAACATATGAGGCATCATACCATGATGTAAAGAAATTCTCAAACAGATAACAAAGTCATACATTTTTTTTCAGACTGGAAAGGACAACAAAACCTGGATTCAAGGCTTTGACTGTGTAGAATCCTTCAAAAGAAGTGATCTGCACTAAATGGCATAAGTAACTAATCTATTAATAACTGAAAAGCCTTAACTTTAAATATAACGATATAAACATCAGTTTATGTTGTTTTTTTTATTGGTGGGGGTTAATGTATTAGCTGGAATTAAAGTTCTAATGTGTAGAAAACTGAGCGACAGTGGTGCACGATTCAGGAGTTTTTTCTGCAAGTTGTGATGCCGCTATCATGGTGTGAACGGGTTGCAGAGCATGTGAACGGAGCGTGGAGCGAACGGTGGAGCAGAGCGGAAGAAATATGGCGGAGAGCAGAGCGCTTTTCTTAATTCAAAGGCTGGAGTGAGGCTGGAGTGAGGCTTTCGCTATGATGCCCTCGCACGTCAATTAAAAATGTAGGATGATAAAATTTGTAAAATATCATTTATTTGATTCAAGTCTGGTAAAATAAATGAATAATTAAATAGGAAACGCAGGGCAACATTAAAGGAGCGAGGCGTTACGTTCACTGCTGGGAAACAGTGCCATTATTTCACCATTTTGCCAGTTAAATAAGACAATTCACATGTATCGGTGACATCACTAAATCAAACGCCGTCTGTCCCAGGGCCCTGGCATGATTACATGAAGGAAAAATGTCCAAAAATGCCTTCTATAAAGTTAACTTCTGAGCGGATTTAGAGCGGAGCCTCCTGGCGCAACTTTAAGTGGCGGAGCGAATAAGCTAATATTCTTCTGAGCAGGAACTGCATGCTGCTCCGCTCCGTTCACATGCTCTGATGGGTTGATGTGTAAATTTAGTTTAAACGAGTCTCTGTCACTTGAAAAGACTTGAGTAACATGAAAAAAAAAGAAATAATTTTTTAAAATACTTCTCATCATTACTTTTCTTACTTTTACAATGAATATAAAAGAAAGCAATATGTCATTCACCAATAAATCCAACAAGATCTAAAGTGAGTAAAAAAATAAACATCTCTAAAGGAATCACTCCTCTTCTATGTGAAATAGTTCCATACCTGAAACTCGACTTGGATTCTCATTCATGTGGCTTTTGACGAAGAACATGTAATTTTCTTTTTGACGCTCCCATTCAATGGTTCTGTCCAAAATCTGGGGTCTATAAACAGAAAGACCTGCATATGAAAGGTTACAGCTCCATCTAGAGGTAAAATAAGTTATTACAGTACCTGCAAACCGCCTGTTGTGAATGCAGAGAGGATGCTGGTTGGCTGATCCTCTCTGTGTGACCCACTGCTACCACTTTTGATCTCACCTGAAAGAAGAGCACAGATCACTGCTGTAACTACTGCAGAATGAGATGAACTAGGCCTCCTTAGAATGCTAGAAGCAACTGAGGTAACCTACCTGAACATTTATAGGCAATGTGGTTTCATTTAGACTGTCCCCTGTACAATCCTCTGAGTTGTACGTCTCTCTGGGTGCTTCTGACCTCTCAGCCTCCGACTCAGTCGCAGCTAATTGACATATTGAGGATTCGAACATTGGCTGCCCAATGTTCGAATCCTCATCATATCCCTCTAAAAAATCTAATTTTAGAGGTGCTAGCAGTGACCCGCTCATGTTCTCTCTGCTGTCTTTGGTTAAAAAAGAGAAGTGCTGACAAAGTGCTGGAGCTTCATCGTTCCCCTGTTGCTGTGGTGGACCTTCTGTCTTGCATTCTTCCTTCTCATGGAGGTGAAATGAAGACACCTTGTCATCCTCTACAGCTCTGGTAGCAGGTTTTTCCTCATCTGCCGGTCCTTGAACCTCCTCCTCCTTCAGCAGATTAAGGCATAAGATGTCTTCAACGTCTTGGTCAAAGTCAGATGATGAATTTATAAGTATATTTTCCGTTTTTGCCTTCTTTTTGGTGCAGCCACGTTCAACACACTCCAACTCCAGCCGAGAGCTCACAGTTTCTTTCATTTCGCTCCTATCAGTTTCAGTTTTTTGATTAGGCTTGGGAAACGGGGGAACAAAAGGAGACATTGAATTGTTTCTCGTAAGAGAACTGGAGTAATCCATGACACAGCCAAGATCTGGGGACACAACATTGGGAATGCACTGCTTTTTACATGGACTGCTGAAGTCATCATCCACATCGCAATCAATCGGTCTCTTTTTCCCCCAGTTGTCATTAATTAGCTCAACTTTGAAGTTTACGAAAGGATCGGCAGACTCTTTTTGGGATTGAGGACCCCTTATTTGGTCACACATGACCATCCGTGAGTAGGCGGACAGAGGCGCCAGGTGTTCCCTTGTTGGAGGATTAAATATTTTGGTTGAGTTTCCTTTCTCATCCATCTCTGTTAAAAAAGGAAAACACATTAAATCCTGGTATCTGAGTAACAAACTGTGTCCAGAGAGGTTTGAAAAGCAGATAAAAACACAATTTAACACTAAGCAACATCGCACCTTGAAAACTTTTTGATGAAATTATGACACATTTTTATTATAGACTGTATCTTTCAAAGATAGTTTAAACTTAATTATGTAGTAGGCAATACAACTTGCCTTACAATACATCAAGTTACTGTATATCAGTGGTCGGTCCAGCAACAGCGATGCGTTGGTGCATGTATGGAGCCCATAGAGCAAAACACTTTCGGTGCGCGTGTCGTTTCAAGAAAGTCATGTAACCGATACAGGAGTTTCTAACTGACTGACTCACTAAACTGTGTTTAAAAACGTATCTGTCAGCATGATGCACCTGCTAAAAAAAATATGTTTTTTTGTGGTTTATCATTAAAATTATCAATTATTTTGTAGCTGCTTAAAAGGAATAGGAACGTTTCAGCCGTTGCGTTTTTATTTTATTTTCTCGTTGTGTCATCCTTTTCCTCTCACTTATCACTCAACTTATCCGAATAAAAGTTCATTTCAAATTGACTCTTAGTTTATTTACTGTTTTTCCTCTGCTCATTGTTTTAAAAATATGATTTAGTCCACAAGTGTCCTCGTTCACATTTTCCCCTAAAATTCCACATAATGTATTTACATTATTTAGACGCTGCATCAAAAAATTAAAATTATATTTTCAGTTTAAACATAGATATGAAATAATATGATATAACCTACAGTAACTTAAATGATATCATTGTACTGGGTTATCAAATTAATTCATAGTATGTCAAATAAGCTGCCTGTAGTGTCTTTAAAGGTCCAGCAGGTGTCAGTATTCTGTAAGACAGTATCAATGCAGCATCATTGACAGTGTAATGATTCTTTTTTACTCCATTCATCAATTTAAATTTTTCAAAACTGACAGTATTTTTGTTCTCCACTTCTCCCATAGTTTAAAAACACATAACAGACATCACCCCATGTTGAGTTAGAATAACTGGGAACTGGAGAGGGATTTTGTTAACAGATCTTTAAAAAGGCCTAAGAAGAAAGCTTGGAAATCTATTAAAATAACCTGATGTATGATAACAACATTTGGCAATTTAGAAGGAAAGGACAACAAAAATTAGGATGTACAATAAAATTTTAGAGCAATAAATATGATCCGCTGTTGCCAGGCTTACTAGTCTGTTTTAAACCTAGTATGGCCTGCATTTGATCAAAGCATTAAACTCCTGAAGCAACTTTAAATGTATTCTTGTTATGCTAGATTTAATTCTGAATCATATTTTCTTTCATTTAAATTGTAGCTGACTTTCTCCTTTGTTTTTTTATTCACAAACTTCTCTAAAACGACAAACACTAAAGACCTAGTAGTTGAACATTTTACATTTTAAGATTTACAATAAAATAAAGATGGGAGCACTAACTTACTGTCACGGTTTGGGTCACTGTCTCCACGGATTTAAAACAAAACAAAAAGAGTTAAAAGTTTCACTAATCGCAAATATATTTTAACCAACCGAATGCTTTAAACCTCAACAGGCAGAATAATTTTTTTAATAAAAAATGTCTTATGTGGCATCTAACATTTAAGTTACACAGTTTTTGGCTAGCGTTAGCTTAAATTTTAATTTAAAAAATCAGAAATAAAGGCTGTAGAGTCATATTTAGCTAAATTCAAACATGTAAAGTCGCCTCAATGGTTTAATTCATGCAAATAAAAGTAACCGTTTTCAACCGCTCCTCTCGCCCAGGCGCCAGAAGCTGCTTGGCGGGTACTCTAAGCTAGCAACAGTGTTAGCATCAAACATCCACAGCAGCCAGCTTCTAAATATGTTTTAAAAAGGGTTAAAACCTACAATGGCAAATGGACGGTTTCGTCTGATTTAATAACGCCAAAAACTGAGCTAAAAGACTACCATTAAAAAAAAAAATAGACGTACCTTTTTGTATTTTCTTTTGAAGAAAAGCGCTAAACACAATGGTAACCTGTAATCTGCTCAACTCTGATTCTTTCAGTTAGCTCTCGGGCACGCGCGCAGGTCTTTAGGGGCGAACGAGCACGCACAGTTTAGCGGTCAAGGGTCGGTTAATGCTTTTATTTGTATTCCTTTATTTTATATATATATATTTTTTTTTTTTTAACGTTTTATAGAAGTATATATATAATTTCTTTTTAATTTTTATATATATATATAGATATATATAAAAAATATACATATATAGACAGAAAAA